TTTTATGTATGTTATTCAATTTCTTTTGACTAATAAGGTCTTGCGAAGCAAAAAGGGCTGGACGGACAGGGGTTTGAGCCTTTATATATATATATATACAACTATATTTTATATTGGGTTTGTCCCATTACCTGTAACCGTCGGTAAACAAGAGCATCACCATTTTAGAGGAAGGCCTTTACTAGCCATCATCATCCACTATTACTGGCAATGGGATATACGTATACATATATATATATACACTGTATATATATATACTGTATATATATATATGGCTATGATTGGCTATGGCTTTTTCATGTCTCTTTTGCGTTCCAGGCAAAATTGGCAGACCCGCAGAGGCTGCCAACCGTGAGCAAGGCTGTAGGCGCTGGCACCGGAACTTGGAAAGCGAGATGGACCGGGAGAGTCTGCGGCGATGTTTGTAACACGTGCTTCGAAACACAAAAGAGAGGGGTGAGGGTCTCAAGAGGATCAACCTCTATGTAAACCAGCTCCATTGGTTTGGCGTCCAGTCTTTTGTGGCATTGACCGTGTGGTGGAGTTTGAGTTTGCCTTTGGGTTGCCATGCGTTTTCCATCACTTTGACCGAACTTCAACCCCACTGCTGCGTGGCTTCTAAGAATAGTCTAAGAAAGCCAGTATTCAGTTGAAGAGCCATTCAACAAGTTCATCAGTTCGCACAGTGTTTTCCTTGATGTCAGTTTCAGTGCTGCGTCGAAACGGCGAAAATCTCCGAAACTATGACAAGTGCAGGCGCGGCATCCAGGGCCAGGTGCGAACCCCCCTTTTCACAATCCGTCCCGGTCGAGCGTGGTAGGGATTCCCTACCAAAACGGTCTCGACACCTTCTTTTGACATTGCCTCACACGTTCGCATCGTGCGGAAGTTGGAAGCATAGGTCACAGGCTTTCAGAGCTAGTCTTGTAACCCTAGCCCACTGGGCACTTTGGCGAAGCTTTTCAAGAACTAGCCGAACGCCGTCGGAAAATGTGTTAGCTTTGCACTCCCATCAACAGGTGCTCTAGTTAAAGTTGGGAGTTGGGACTGACTTGATGAATTCCAAACGCAGGAGAACCTAAATTAATGGATGTGATTTGTCTGGAGTCTGGACCGGACATGTCAATATAGATGGGAACCTACATGGACCCATGTGCCGCCACCTTGGTACGAACATGTCGCAGTCCTGTCCACCGGTTGTTCCAGCTGAACAGTTTCCAGGTGAGTATCCTCCAAGGAACGTACCGGATTCACAAAAGTCTTCCTGCTCAAGTCATAGACTCATTGACTCAGAGTTGTTCCAAAGGAAACGCGAGAGAAGTCCAATTTGCCAAGAGAGGGTTTCCATGACAAAATGATGCAAAATGGCTTTCCACTCTATTTCAAGCCTTTCGGAAGAGGTCGTCGCCGCCCTTTTGGCTGCAGCTCGGAGCGCGCCTGAGGGGAAAACCTCCTCCCGAAGGTGGGCGATCGCTTGGGACCGCTGGTCGTCGGGGTAGGAGTTTGGCGGTGACATAGCGTTGGAGAATCTACAAGGGCATGCCTTGCACCATCGCTTATAATCACGTTAAAGGTCTTTCTAGATGTGTCGGAATCGAAGGAATGCTTATACAAGTCAAGTCATGTCAAGTCAAGTGTTTATTTTTCTGGTTAGGATGTTTCAGACTGAGGTGCACGTCCGTTACATCAAATGCGAGGCAGGGCCGGGCCAATTCTCACACTCTTCGAGCTGCTCCTTCTGCTTTCCTCGAGAGGAACTAGATGTCATTCGATTTGACTACGTACACATTCAGACCATGTTGTGCAGAGCTAGAGGCTTCCTGCCAAAAGCTCCAGGGGCAGCCATTTGGCAGAGAGGTAGCACGTCTGAAGTACTTGTGCCTCTGTGTGAACGCCCGGCAAAATTTTTGTACAAGCACTTTGGGAAGGAGCTGCCTTAAGTAGTTCTGAATTGATGAACACCTTGCATAACTGACAGGTGCTATCCCTGTACCGAGACCCTTTTTTGATTCAACGTCACATTGCCTGCATGCCAAAACACTGGAAACCATTGGAAACCAATAGGGGTCAACTGGGTCAACCTAAATAAAATACTTTTGCATTGGAGACACGGAGAAGTTTTGATCGCCACTACATGTGTGAGAATCTCATTAGCTAACATGGGGTGATCCCAAACCAAACAGACCAACAAGTGGTAGTTTAGCACTTGAGGTGGCGCAGGATGTCTTGGTTGATTGACATCAGCGTCATTCGCAACTCTAGCTTAGCAAGCCGCAACAAACGATTCCCAAAGTGACTTGACAAGAATACACCGCATGAAGCAAAGAATCATGGCACAGGCCAACGGACCCAACCGGAGCAAGTCAACTCAAAAAGCTCCTTCCATTGGAGAGCTTAACGAAACAACTGCCAAGTTAGTCGACCAGGCTGGCTATTGAACTCACATTTTGTATGCTCTTCCTGGACATGTGCAAAAGAAAGCTAAAAGCAAAAACTGCGCTGGCTGCCTGGGGCCATGGTCAGGTGATCACCCTGTTTTGGCCCCTTTGTGACCTCCGCCGTGAGGCTGTATCCATATGGCAATTCTTTACCAACTTTTGTATGCTGAAGCCTGAGCCAACAAGACAAGACACCAAATAGCTCCACGAAACCCAGGAATGATTCCGTGCTTGTACCGAGGCCATTCTGGCAAACCTTTTGGCCACAGCTGCCGGCCTTTGCCCCCAGACTGCGCATATATATATAATATAGATGTTTTAGTTTCCTCTCTAAGTTGCAACTTCCTAAAGGTGGGGTGTACAATTTTGCAGACTCATCCAGGTAGGATTCGGAAAGAAACCGATTCATCCTTTGGACCACCAAGTACTGGACGGACAAAGTATGTGACTTCTATGCGGTCACTGAAGTTGCACGATTGTCATGACCCAAACGCTGCATCCTCTCAGGCAGTGAATGTCAGGCCAGATCCGAGGCAGGGAAAGCACGGAGTGTATCAGCCAGCTCCTAATAAGCGGCGCAATTCATGAAGGCCTTTGGCTCAAGAAAACGGAGTGGTCAA